GAAAGTTCATATCTCTTAGATCATATATGTCAAATTTTGTTAAAATTGAACAACAACTTGAAGGTAATCAAAGTGTTCATATTTTAGTATATTTTGAAATGTATATATTACGTCAATTTTGTTTTATGAGAATGAATATCAAATCATCTTAGATTAATATAAAATTTGATATATATGATCTAAGAGATATGAACTTTCAATCTAACGGTTGGATTTACAAAATTCACATTTAATATAAAGTTATTGAGCGGTGTAGTTAAAGTTACACCGGTATCGTTTGAACCCTCCTCTATATATATATATATATAATTATTATTTTACTCCTATTATATTGTAGTGAGATTATTATTATTTATATAAGATACAGTGCATAATCAGATATGGTTGTTGGCATAACTGATTAAGCTACTTATCCCTTATTGCATTATATTTGTAAGATACTCAAATATGAGATAGTATGAAGTATGAAGAATGCTAACATAATGTAATATAAAATATTGATACTTGAATGTAAAGGAGAAAGGTCAACTAGAACATTTACTTATATTAACATTATTTCACGAGTTTCTTTGTGGGAGAGGGTGATTTTGATCGAATGAATCACATTATTTACATCAATTCTTCTTTAATTTGTTTTCGCCAAACACAAGTAATTTTATTAATTCTCTGATCTAATTTCCTTCCTTCAAATTCTTCTTAAATCACTCCCTCATGATAAATGCGCAGTTATCAATGTTCTTACTTGTATACTGGATTCTCCATAAGCCTTTCCAGACATGCATATCTGCACCATTTTTTTTATTAGTAATCAAAATATGTTTGGCAACATCCTAATTTTTATAATTATATATTTATTCAGATTCTTTAAAATAATTTTTGGACTTTAGAATAAGTTATTTTGAATGAGTTCAGGATTTTCTTGTCTCCAACCTAAGACATTATAATGGTATTACAATAAGTAAACCATCACACCAGGCTGTAGACAGACATAATGGATAGACTTCGCGCAATAATGAGCATCCTATCATTAAAATGTAGGACGAAATGTTGTAAGTTGTTTCAGTTTAGAGGTTGAAAATACTTGAGAATAATCTTTTTTCTTTTTGTAGTTTTAATAGGATATTTTATTCAACAATTATCCTAAATTCTATCTAGATTCTGACTATTTGGCTTCATGCATTAGGTATTTTTTTAAGTCTAATTTTTCTTTTTCAGCCCAATCGTTGCATTAGGTTTTGAAATAATAAAACTTTGATTTTACTTAAGGAAGAATTGAAGTGAGTTTGGTACGCACATTTATTAAAGATCAGAAACTTTGTCTTGTAAAATTATAATTATTATGTCTTACTTGAATTTTCGTAAGAGTTAAATTCTGAATCCTTTATTTGAGATTAAAGTTTTGATGAATTGTAAAAATTTTCTTCATCTATATCATTATACACATATGTATTATATTTTATGAATTTTAAGCGGCCAGGTAATTGTATTGTATCATATTATTTTAAAATTAATTTAAAAATTATATTTTTTGTTATAAATATTTTTTAACTTAAAATAATTATTGATATGCTGATTCATAAACAGCAATATTTTATTCAATATTATTCGTTTTCTATGCTGATATAAAGTATATATATATATAGTGATGACACGGTCTATTAATTCATATGTAGTTTATTTACCAAAAATGATGACCTTAATTCCTTTTTATTAAATAAGTCAAATTGATAATTTAAAAAATTATTTAGTTAATAAATTAAGTTTAACATGTTCAATAGATGTTCTAAATATAATCAATTAATTTGAATAATTAAATATTATTTTTATTATTATATATTATTAATAATAACTTTATTATAGTTATAAAATCATATATTATTGACTTATTTAAAGTATAAAAATATATATTTATTAACTTATTTTTCTAAAAATTATTATAAAGTAATTTTTTAAGACTTTCATATTAAGCTAGCTTTACATCATATAAGTAGAAATGAGAATAGATTAGATTTTAAATAAGAATTTATAATTAATAAATAGTTTGATTTGATTTATTAATAAAATGATTAAATTTAGATTTTAAAAAAAGTATATTTACTTAAAAAAAGTTGGGCTTGAATTTATAAAAAAGTTTGTTTGAGTAGACTAACTTATCTATCTATATGATATATAAAGAAAATAATATATATTACATTATTAACAATATAGTTAAATAAATAAATTCATAATTCAAAATTAAATTATTAATATTTTTGAAATTTTTACTACACTTTAATATTACACCTCATGTTTATATCAAATCAAGAAATGTAAAATAAAAAATTTAGCAATCATCCATTAGTGTGCATAATTGTGTATATATTGTTTCTCTTACGTTAAATTTTTTAATTTTAAATTTCAAAATTTAATAAAAATATAATAAAGTAATTCTTTTATCACACAAATTTTAAAAAAATTATACGTATATTTAAAAATAGATTTATTGATTCATTTAATATTAAGTTTATTGATTTATTTAATATTTTTAATGTAAAATAAATTTTTAAATAAGTTAATAAAGTCTATTAAATTTTAAATAAAAAAAAAACCTAAAAAAATTTATGATAAATAATAAATTAAACTTAAATTTTAATTAAATTCAACATATATTTTAAAAATTTAGCCTAATCTATTTTCAATTTTTTTATATAAGTAATAAGTAGTAATAGTAGTACAAGTCAAGTATTATAATTTGAAACAGACCTCAAAGTTTTGGAAAGGAGTAGTAGGGGTGATACATTTCCATCACATCACTAACAATTTTGTATTTTACTCATACAACTTATACTACCACATATGCCTGGAAATGTTAGTTTATAATTAGAAATTAACAATTCACATCACCATTTCTCCAAGCACCTTGTGATTAAGGTCGCTAATTGAGAAGTAAATAAATTTGTAAATTTTAGCAAAAGACAGTGATAATTCATGTTAAATCACACAAAAAAGTGTGTGCACGTATAATTAATGATGCATGGACACTTTTGGGTAAAACCTGTATGAATTAGAGCTACACAGAGAAATCCAATTTTACTCTTCATTTAGACAAAACGTCAAAATCTTACCACTGCTACCAGCAGCCTGCATGCAGTGTAGTGTTTGGTAACCAATTATTTACTAATAGACAGTGGAAAGTAAGTTTGGTTATATCCTTATTCTGCAAAACCGCCATTATTATTTTCCACCTACTATGTAATTTTCACTATGCATATAACAATCCTTCCTCACTGTAACATACCTTTTTTTTTTTCTGTTCCTCTCTCCCTCCCCACAACCACCACCACTCCCTTAAGGTTTCTTCAGGAATTAATTATTGGACTTTGTAACAAGATAAATATTTTATACTCAAACTAAAAAACCTTATTAATATTCATAAAATATTTATTAGTCATAATTCCTAAGATTCCCAAACATAATCTCCACTTGAAGACAAGATGATATCTCTATATCACAGTCACGTATATCCTCTGCACATGCTGATTGCTGAGTGATTGACCTTATTATTTATATTTTTTGTTTTGATATATCATGTTCATGATGTGGCTTATTATGATATTTTATATTATATTATAAGTTACAATACTATATATTATACTTAACAATTAACATCCTAAAACAGCCGCAAGTGTTGATTTTGAAGTACATTGTGTTAGATTTGCTGTGTGTGACTACGTGCTACGAACGCATACATACACACGCTCACCGACTGACAGACACATCATGATCAGCAGCTGCAGATATGCACACGCATGCATGAGATGCAAGTTCCTTTGATACTACAACATACTACAACATAGCAAGAATCAGAAGCATCTAGAACAACACAAAGCTGAAACACAGTAGTTATTATTATTATTATTATTATTATTATTGTTATTAATATTATTATTATCATCATAATGATAATACTGAAGCTAACAACTCACTACAATATGTTAGTACTAATTTTTCATTAATGCCACTGATTCCAATCTGATTCTCAAAATCCGTTGTTGGCTCCACTCCTAGTTACATTATTCTGATCTTGTTGCTGATGGAAATGATGTTGGTGGTGGTACCCTGGCATGGAGCTGCTACTCTCACCTATGTCAAGTTCTGGTCTGTATACCTCTTCATCTAACTCTTCCTTTGCCACTTTTTGCATTCCCATGAACTCCAATGGCCTTTGGGGTGATGGCAAAACTTGGTGGTGATGGGACTGTGGTTGTGAAGGTTGAGATGGTGGTACCACTGAGGGGAGCTTAGAGAGAAGTGCCTCAAGGCTACTCATTGAAGGAGTTATCTTGAGTGGCAAGTTGAAGTGATGGTCATATAACTCAGCTTGTGGTGCAAGATGCTGGTTACCTTGGAAATGCCATTGTTCTGGGACTCCATACCCTCCTTCTACTTTGTAGGGGTATGCTGATGATGATGGATGTGGCAACAGCACACCAGGAATGCTCTCAATGTAGCTGAACTTTTTTCTCAGAAGAACCACATAGCTCAAGTCTTCAATCACCTTCAGTTCCATGAAGAGACATGATATATATGAGTAAGTACAATTGTGTAATGTGTTTGTGAGAGAAAGAAAGGAGAAGAAGGAGAACCTTGTGAACAGCTCCTAATTGAACAACACCTTCTCTTACAGCAATGAGAGCTATGGTCTAAAAGAGACATAATTGAGTTACATAAAGAAATGGAGAATGAGATCCTGTATGAAATGTATGAGTGCCATACCTTTATACCAGACAGGAACTGAGCTTCCCATGTCCTAGGGTGCTGTAAAAAAGCATATATAAATATATATAATAAGGATATACCGACAGATTTTCTTACTTGTATAAACATGAAATCATGACTATTGATTTGTACCATGATTAGTGACTAAACTTAGATGACTATGTTAACAATCAATTATTTGGCATTTAATGCTGTTCACTGTGCAAGCAAAAGCAAGATATGTATGTATGTATGGTGTTTTAATTTTCTTTCTCACCGAATCTGCTGAATTGTGCCATGCTGACAAGAAGTTGATTTCTTGATCATTAGGTTCTTTGTATATCCACTTGTGGCTGTGATCTGCAGCCACTTTTCCTATCAACCTGCTTCATTAAACACAATCAATCAACCTCTTTGCTTTCAACATCTCATGATCCAACAAAACAAGATGAGAATGTGATATAAATGAGTAAATTAACTTCATTAACACACACAGGTGCATACCCTTCTCCATAGTTGTAGATCTCATGTGACATCTTGAAGAAGAGCTCCGGTTGCAGCCCTTGGTAGGGCTGAAACTCACAGTTCCCATAAACCGAGGAGGTTGGACAATCGCCAGAGTTAATTTCAGGTGCGGCCGAGGCAGCAAAATTGCAGAAACCATCTTCCCACACCAATATCCTGCATGCATATAAACAAACACACACCGTTAACACCAAACACAATAATCCTGCACCACAGTGTTGAAGTTAACACTTAACAACACTCAAAACAATACCAATTCCTTCTGTTTCCTCTTGATCTATCATAAGCCCCTTGTCCTTCCCACCTATACAATTACGAGGAAACAAGATTGAAGAATCAGCACATCACATGTATCCTGGAAATGTTTCCATATAGTTATAAATAATTAATTAGTCCATCTATATATGTATGTAAGTGTGTGATTTGTGTGTATGTGTCTAGCTTGTCTAGCTAGTGCACAAAATCTCTCTCTTTCCGTGAACATGAGCTGTAGAAGTGATTGATCTCTAATTTTCCTCTCCTTACTTGGGAGGAGGGTAGTTTCTAGGCAAGATCCTCCAGAAGACTGCATAGACCCATTGAGAATTTTCATGGATGCACAAACTTCTGAGAGTGTGTTGAAGGAGATGAGTAACAGCCAATGGAGTGAGATGTTCTTCCATCAAATCCTCACAAAGCAAAGCAATTATATATTTGATCTCTTCTCTTTATTCTCTTCCTTGCACCCTCTTACCTAACTATCTTTAAGAGTGGGGAACTGCAACATCCTATCCTCCTTTATATAAGCCCACCAACAAGGAAACCTCACATTTATACCCCTTCACTCTCTCTCTATCTCTCTTTCTCTCCTACAGATACAATACATTTAGGTGGGAGAAAAGTGGGGTGAAATAAATGAACCATATACTTTTCAAATTCACACAACAAAAATATTTTAATATTTTATTGAGGCCCCACCACCCGTTTTCCTTCCCCGTTCCCCAAATGCTCCAATGTTGAAAACAACCAACCTCACCCAAATTCATGAACCAGCAAAGGCCAAACGTGATAATAATATATAAATATAATATTATATTGCATTATATGTGGTTTCAAAAGCAGCATGATATATGAGTCACGTAGCTCCATGTCTTTCTCTTATGACTCTTATCTAATTCCTATAGCATTGATCTCCTGAACCCCAATGCTGCTGCAGTAGCATCCATCTTTTCATATATATTTTATTTTTTTTAATTCATGTTCCATCGCTTACCGTTCTGTTCCCTGACACTCTTAGGTATCAGCAAGTACTCATGATTCCAGTCCCAGGCAAAGTTCCTAAAGCACAACCATTTATTCTACTCAACCAGCCACCACACTTCACCTAATAAATGTTAGCAGTTTATAATTATTTTTTATGTATATTTTAAACCCTTCTTTATTTTTCTTTAACTTGGATTTGTAATTTTGTTCCATCGGTTGTCTGCTACGTGAGGAACAAGATAATGGTGCCAGGATATCCCTTAGAGGAAGTGAAATATCAACATCAAATTACTGTTTCATATACTATTGCATCAGAGTCTTGTAGCAACTAACAAGTAATAATAACTAATTAAGTTATTATTGAGTCATAAGGCGTAAATTGAAAAGCCTTTTATACATACATAGAATGTCAGACATAGTATTCCTATAATTTTTTTAACCCAAAAATAAGAGTTGAGCTATTATTTTTTAGAACCAAGAGAGAAAATGGATTAATTTAATATTAAATCTTAATCTCAACTTAATTATAACCTCTTCATGGCAATAGTGTTAAATACTTGATTCAAAAATTCAATAGGTTGAAGGATGGTAAAACGCTATACACACACTCTCCTCAACCCTTGTTGCACTTCTAGGGAAGACATATGGTTTTCCCCTCCTTGTTTTCTTCTATCTCATTCCCATTTTGTCACCCTATTTTCACCTTCTCTTGTTGATATACAAAGGTTTCCTTTCACACGAGTGTTTATTTTTTAAATAAAAAAAGCATTAAACCTAATATTAAAGTTTGAAAACTAGAAGTTGAAAGCAACATATCATTGATTAGTAACAACCAAAGGGAAACCACAGCATACATAAATGACAGCAGCTAGAGTGCAACCGCTTGCAACCATAACCTGGTAGTGAACATTTTTCCAAACCAAAATCATGATGAAAACCAGAAAACAAAGTTTCAACGACACCATCTATATACTTGAAATTTAAGAACTCCACCATTTCTCTCTCTCTCTACATAGTATAGTCGGTATCTCCTTTCTTTGCACCTGCTACACTTGCATCTCTGTTGAATCTGTAAGTTACATAATGACTAAATGGAGAGAAACTCATTACTTTCATTTCCCCACTCTGACACACCAGAAAAAGCTTGACAGACAGGCCATTATTCTCCTATCCCTTTGACCAACTAAGAAACAACAACAATAATAATAATAAAAATAAAAACCCTTGTCAATATTTCACATTTGCTATGCTAGCCAGCCATTAATGTTTTAGATTACCTAATAACCCAACCCAACCATTTATTTATGGCCTTCATTTCATGACAGTGACACACATTGCTGTCTCCATGATTTCCCAAACGGATTCTTCCTGTGTAATATTGTACCAACAAAAACGATATGCGCGTGTGAGTGAGAAAACGGGGGGTTGGTGTGATTAAGGGGCTAAATAAACTGTACTGTGCATGTATAATTCATGATGTGTACGATGGTAAGGCAGAGAAAGTTACTTAGCAGTAGTAGAGAGTAGGGGACAGTCTCTGAAATGGGTGATGTAAGCAAAAGGAAAGTGCTGGGGGCTACAAAACAATTCAATGAGTTTTGGATTTTATTGGAGGTGGGTGATGCCCTCTAGTGGACATAATATATTGCTATTTTGTTTCTTTTCACAAAAAATAATATGATTAAATTAATTAATTAATTTTATATATATATTTGGTGAGGGGAATGGGATGGAACAAGTTTGGTATGGGAGCAAAGAATGGCACATTAGTCTTGGTCAAGGAACAGGTGTTGAATCTGAAAGGATGCCCCATCCCTTTCTTCAATTAAAGGAAGTGGAATCTCTGCTCTCCCATCCTTCCCAATGTCTATTAAATAAATAAACAAAAGAAGAAGAAACCAAGCAGTTAATTAATCGGAAAGTGTGTGTGATTTCCATAATGTGTCTTTAGAAGCATGTAAATTATTAATTAGCAGACAACAAAACATAGGATCTAGTAATGCATACTTGTAAGCAGGCAAAGATACATCTCAAAGTTATATATAAAAATAATACTAGTTGGTAATTAGATATTGTTTTGGAATGTTTGGTGGCATGTTAATGGCTAGGGTTAGATTCCCCCCGGACCCTCCCTTTTTGTCTTAAAAGAAGCAGACACATAACCCTCACGCCTCAGTTACTTAGGCTAAGTAAATAAAGGATACCCTAATTGGCTGTCCGTGATGTCTATCTATGAACCTAAATTTCAGTGTTTCTTCAACTCATGGATTTTCGTTTCTCCTTAACTAACTCATTTCTTTCCACCCTTGAATTCTATGAACACAATCAACTTTCTCACGTTTCCCAACTAAATAAAACAATGTTGTGTTATTTTATTTTTATTTACTCTGGTCCTTAAATATATATTCAATGAAAGATGCTTGTTGAGATACTTCAATAAAACATCGTGATGAAAGTTGTTTAAAAAAATTCAATTCCTTTAATAAGTAACTATTTCTTATTATTAAAAATAATATTTTGAACTCAATGAAGATTATTAAACCATTGTTACATAATCAAATTAAAATTAAAAATATAATATTATGAATTTTTTTCAAGTTCTGTAAAAAAAAATTCCATTAAATATGAATTGTTTTAATTATGACATGACGTAGTAAAGATTAGTAATCAGACTTTTATATGTATTAAGTAACTTGAATTGCTCTCAATTGAGTTATCCTAATAATTAAAAACTGGTATTTACAACCAGTTAAAGGTAATTTTCGATAACTAAATCTTTCACCAGTTTAGTCAACACTAATCAGTCATAACATTAATCGTTAATAGGTTATAAATATGACTGCAAAATAAAAACTATTTTCAGTTGGTTGCTAATATTGATAACTTTCTTATTCTTATTGTGCAAAACTATATAAAGAGATTTTAAATATATTGTTAGTAACGATAAAAGTTGTAAAATAGGCAAAGTACTATTTTAAAACACATTTGCAATTATTTACTGCTGTTAATGTATTTTTTTAAAAAAAGGAATAAAATAATGAAACCTAGCTATGTTCAATTTAAAGAGAGAAAAATATATAAATCAAGTATCTAAAAAGAGGAGAGAGTAATTTACTAAAAAAAGAAATATGCACGTCTGCCGCCTATGTTATGAAGATATGCAACTAAGGTTGACATTAAGCTTCACATTATTTCTCTTTCTTTATTACAAGTCTAAGCCTTGTTTTTGGCATTAAGGTAAGGTTCATGTTTCTCTTTCTTTCTTTATTTCGTGTGTAAGGTTTCTTGGTGGCATTAGGGTCAAGACCTTCACTTCAATTTGTCTTTGTGGAAAGTCTTGAAATACATTTTTTCCTGGCTTCTCAATTACTTCCTGCTTTATTATTAGTTTTGTTCCACTAATACCCCTCATTTCCTTATCAAATTACGGATATTTTGAATAATTTTTCTAAAAAATTCTTTTAGGAGAAAAAATATTAACCTCCGGAAAATATATATAATTTTTTATTTATGTATAAATTAATTTTAACTTAAGAAATCCTCCTAAAAGTACTTATTATCTAAAAGTACTTTTAAGAATTTTATTTTATTTTTGTTTAAAATTAATTTTAAAAAAAAATAATTATCTAAACAGATTTTACCCTACATTAGAAATCTTCCTCTCTTGTCTACTTTGAATAGGAGGGTGTTGTGAGATGATTAATTTCACCATTGACCCCTCTACACAATTCCATCCTCAACTACACCGACATCACCCTGCTTCTCGATAAGGGTTCCAACCCATCTACGATTTGTGTCGAAATAAGATATATATTTATCTCTTTATTGAACCACTAATTAAATGAACATTTTGTTTTTCATTTTATATATATAAAAAAAACTAGAAGATATACACATCAAGCATGTCTGTAATTAATCTACTGTTATTGGCTTAGTAGAGGAAATTTTAAACAATAAATTCTAGGTTTAAACTTTGTTGTGGTTGAAAAAAGCATGATTGTAAATTATACAATAGATACAAGTAATTTTTTAAAAGAAGAAAATAATTAAAGTGACATTATGAAAAAGAGAAGAAAGATAAGAAAACAAGTAACGAAGGCTCCTGAGCATCATGAGATGAATCTATTTTTTCAAAAAGGTGTTAGTGAAGGCATTGAAAATAGTTCATACAGTGTACCAACTATATATAAAGTCTCCACGACCAAGTGACTTAAAGTTGAGTCATATTTTCTCTCATTCTAAACAAAACGTACACAAGGTAAGTTGACACGTGTGTTTTCCATTTCCAAAGCCAAGCGGATTCTTGCAATGAGACACTTTAAAGAGATAATTAATGAACCATTTATATACTCCTATATGCTTCTATCCGACAACTTAAATAATTTTTAATAATTGATTCTTAATATATACGTTAAGGTGTATAGTTGATTAGAAGAAGTAATAGCTCCTATCTTTATCATAAAGTCTGCACCGTTTTAACTTCAATACAAACAGCCACCCAGTCCCCCACACTAACCATAATTAATATTAATTTTACACTTATGATTAGTATTATTAAGCATCTAGTCACTTCGTACATAGAAACTTTAAAGTGATTTTAGAGTGTTTTTAAGTAAAGTATGAACTTGAGAAATGTTAATTA